TTATTGTTTTAGATAGGCTTTAGCAAGGAAAGAATGAGTTTCTAGGGCAATACCAGCAGTAATCTGAAGATCCAAACAAGTAGAAATCTATTTCAGATTCTTTTTATTTTTCCCCCTACGCATTCTGTGTTCAGGAATATAGTTTATAAGGCCAGTTGTACTAGGTCCCTGATAAAAAGTTTTCACAGTGAAACCATACTTCTTGGAGTTTATAGGTAACTCTGGGATTATAAACTGCTCTATAAAACTTTGACAATGCTGCAGCCATGTGAAATGAGGATGAGGATTGTTATTAGTAAATATTTAAGTTTAGGAAGACATTTACATACATATATATATTTGAATTTGAGTAAAGGCCTGAATAGTGCACTCTACACAATTCATTGTTTAGAACTAAGGAAAAAAGTAATTTTTTTCTTATGTGATATCACATTCTGAGATGTAATCAGAATTTTGGTTTTTTCCAAATTATATTGGTTATTTTTTAAGTACTAAGTAATGGTTTAAAAAAAAATCATGCTGTCCTTTGTTCTAAAGTCTCTTAGGTTACTTGTAAATTTTACTCATTCTACCACATTGACAACGTTGGTAGCTTGTAAAAGTATTTAGGGTGGCATTTAATTTTTAAATATTTAGGTTGGCATTTAATTTTTACAGAACGATTTAAAAATATTGCCACACTAAATTTATCAGTGCCATGTGCGCCATGTTGAATCAACAACCTTTGACAATCTTACAAGGGGTAAGAGAATGTTCTAAGAGACTGAAGTTTTCTTCTTTCTTCCTTTTTTTTTTTTTTTGCCGTTCTTGGGACTTGAACTCAGGGCCTGGTGCTGTCCTTGAACTTCTTTTTGCTCAAGGGTAGTGCTCTTCCATTTGAGCCACAGCCCCACTTCCAACCTTTTGTTAGTAGCTTTATTGGAAATAAGAGTTTCATGGACTTTGCTGCCCAGGCTGACTTCAAACTGTGATCCTCAGATCTCAGCCTCCTGAGTTGCTAGGATTACAGACTTGAGCCACTGGAGCCCAACGAGATAAATTTTCACAACCAAATCTTTACCATTTGGGTTAATTCAAGTCAGGTTGTTTATAGGCTTAGAAATAGAACTCATTTGTCCTTGTTTGCACTACATATGTGTAGTAGTCATTAGTTTTATAAGAACTGAAAGTCATCTAACTGGTTTTTTAGTTGAGATAACTTTCTCTGAGCTAACCAGTGAAGTCTAGAGGAGAGGCCTGTCTATGGAAAAAAGCAGAGTCAGAAAGTTGTAAAGCAAAAAATTAGGTCACCTAACAGAATAGAGCCCTAATCTGAACAAACAAAACAAAACAAAAACAAACTTATATTTGTTGTCCTTCACATTAAAAACAGCCTGACTTCGCAAACTTTAGTTTTTCTATTTGTCAGTCATGGGGCTTGAACTCAGGGACTGGGTGCTGTCTCTGAGCTCATTCACTCAAGGCTAGTGCTCTACCACTTTGAGCCATAGCACCAATTTGGTTTTCAGTTGATTAATTGGAATTAAGAGTCCCATGGACTTTACTGCCCAGGCTGGCTTCAAACTGTGATCCTCAGATCTCAGCCTTCTGAGTAGCTAGGATTACAGGCTTGAGCCACCAGCACCCAGCTTTGTAAAGTTTGTATTTAAGTGTTACAGAAAAGCTATATGAGTTATCACTAGTTTAAAAGTATGTGGTAGTCAACTATTAATATTTGAAAGTTTGAAGTCATTTAATATGATCAAAACCAAAAACTGGAGATAGGGCTCACATGGTTGAGTTCTAGCCTTGACTAAAAAAACTAAGTGAGGGCTCTGAGTTTTCAAGGCCAGCACAAAACCAAACCAAAGCCACAAATCACTGATGGTCTCATTTTTCTTCCTATCACATCAGAGCCGTATACTAAAAGCGTATATTAGAATAGATTTAGGTAAGTGCATTGATACCTTTAAAAACACTAAAGATAAAATAGAAAGACTTAAGTACTTTTTTAAGAGTACCTGATTTCCTGTCTAAAAACTTAACAAGATCTGCTTTTGTGTCTTTGAAAAGTGAAGAAAATTAACCTATCCTGAAACCAAAACATTTCATTCCTATGTCCCTTCCCAGGTATATTTTACTAAGACATCCTGATGAATGAAAGATACAATCCCCCACCTCTCAAAAAAAAAAAAAGCCACTACTGCTCAATATTAAAACAATATTTCCTAGTTCAATTCAGGGGTTTGGTCAGCAAGTTGTTATCGTGACGAATTATCTCACAAACAGCACTTACTGCAAAGCCCAAACTTTTTCAGAGATCAAAAATGTTGCCCACTAAATGCACTGGGTGCAGTCAGAGCAGATTGTGGGGTTTACTGAACAATGATGTCGGGGCTTCCAGATTGGTTTGGCAGCTACATTGTTCTCAGAGGGTAAACCAGACGCACTTAAGTCCCAGTTTCTTTTATAGGCTTTTGTTCATACCAAATTATTCTTTCACTGTGCTAGCATTCATGATGACATGTTAAAGGAGCTCAGCTTAGCAACCAGCCTCTCGTTGCCAAGGCAGCTCAGCGTCCAATAGGTTTTTCCCTGTGTAAGAGACTTTTCCTGAGAGCTCTGAGAAGGCCACAGAGTGGATTTTTTTCTTTTAACTGCATCCCTTTATTAGGATGCTGTTGTGATCTCTGACTTGCATTTGGTGTTAGTATATTAGAGTTGTTAATAAATCACAGGGGGTACTGATATGCTTTTGAAAGCCCATCCTTAATTCTAAATAATTGGGCCTCACGCATATCCATATTAATAGAAAAATTGAAATGGATTCAGCTTCTGATAATGGAGCAGATGTACATAGAGAGCTCTTTTATGGAATACTTCTCTTTATCTGTCGTGCATGCAGAAACAAAAATCTGGTTCTCTTCAACACGAATGCATGCCATCTCAGAAGAACATTGATATTACAGTTATTTCTTTTCTCAGAGAATGGAGCCTGTAGAAACATGTAAGAGTTAGTTCTACACTGAGGAGCCTTGTTAAGTGTATTGTTGAAGATTTTTATCTTCTCTAGTATTTATAAATAAAATTTTATTTTGTTATAGAGTAATATTTAGCTCTCATCAGTTTATCAGATATGCTTTCAAACTTGTGTGTTCTCAGAAAGTCTACTGGTTGTTGGTCTGGGTTTTTTTTTTGACATCTATATAATAGTTCTTTCTTAGTGAATAGATTCTGTCTAAGAGCTTTAGAAGAAAGTATTTTCCCATTTTTCTTTCTTAAGTTATTTAAACAGGTGTTTTATGACATCTGCCAGAGGCTGGTTAATGTTACTTGGGCCAGATACTACTAGCATTGCCTTAATCATTAAGCCACTGATAGTTTTACAGTCCTTAGAGTAAACAACTTTATTTTTCTAGTCTGTCCCTGGCAGAGAAATACCAATAATTTTCAGTGGACTTGAAAGAAAAGAGAAAAACAACAAAATTATTTTTAGACAGTTAAATATACTTGTACAGACACACTGTGAGTTCATCTGATGCATTACAGACACGTTCTGTCGTAACATTCAAGAAACAGAAATAGCCTTGTTCATTTATCATACTTAGTTGTTTATTGCCGCTTGTATGTGAAACACTTAATTTCTTTGCTCTCAGTAAATGGGCATAGGCTGGGGGAAAAAAAACCAATTTTTTTCATAAAATGAAATAGACCACAGTGTTCTTACCAACTGACTAAGAAAGCATCATGGTGAAAATCATCTTCTATTACCTAGTTAAGTATTCATAAAGCCCATGCGTATTGGGGTAAGATTATACTCATCCCTAAGTGGGAGATAATTAACCAGCGCCACCCTATTGTAGCTTAGGCTGGCTTCAAGCTCACCATTCTTTTGCCTGAGCCTCTGTGTCTAAAATGACAGAGGTACTCATGCCTGGCCAAGGGATGCAATTATCTTTGTAATTATTTAATTCCTTGTTGGCTGTCTTTTTTTTTTTAATTTCAGAATATATGTTGTTTCAGTAGCTGGTGTGTGTGTGTGTGTGTGTGTGTGTGTGTGTGTGTGTGTGTGTGTGTACTTGTGCTGGGTCTTCAACTGCGGGCCTTGCACTCTTGCTTGGCTTCATTGCTCAAGGCAGGCACTCTACTCCTTGAATTCCACTTCTGGCTTTTTGTTAGTTCATTTGGAGATAAGAGCTCATGGACTTTTCTGGCTCCGAACCACAATCCTCAGATCTCAGCCTTCTGCTAAATTATTTTTGAAATTAATTGAGGTTGTTGCTAAGTTTCATCCAAATTAAGGATAACTTTTTTTTTTCAACATGATAAAAGAATGTTTTCCTTTCAGCATGGCTTTCTTTCTCTTTAACCTAACTTTTTTCCCCAGGTTTTTATTAAACCTTTTAGGGAAAAGTGTACATAAACTGTCATGACATTTAAAACATGCTTTTTAAAAGCATAGTATTCCATGTGTCATCCTCAGAAATGTAAACAGGAAAATGTCTCTCGTAGAGATTGAGACACAACTGACCATGGGAAAGGCATGGGTCTTGAACAAAACCTTCTTTGTTTTTTAATACGCAGTTTGCACTGGTGGCTCACACCTTGTAATCCTAGCTACTCAGGAGGCTGAGATCTTAGGATCGTGGTTCAAAGCCAGCTCAGGCAAGAGCATCTGTGAGACTCTTATCTCCAGTTAACCACTAGAAAACCAGAAGTGGTGTTGTGGTTCAAGTGGTAGAGCGCTAGCCTTGAGCTGAAGAGTTCAGGGACAGTGCCCAGGCCCAGAGTTCAAGCTCCACAACTGACCAAAAAAAAGGCAATTTCACTCCTTATTTAATGTTGCCTCAGAGAAATCTCAGGGCCTTTCTCCTTTGAAACTTTCTGGTGTGGAGGAACCTCAGGAAGGGTGTAGATAAACTACAAATTAGGCATCCAATGATCTGCCAGTTGTAGCCTCTCCATCGAGACAGGAGTAGTCCGTGAGTATGACATTTTCAATATTTCCTGTCTTTCTCTAGGAATACGGGGTGCTCTGCCTTCAGGAATTCAGAAACAACAGCAAAGTCGAGTCGAGTCCATGTAACAGCTTCATGGGTCTGAAAGATCTCCTGGGGCATGACCTTGGCCATCTCTATGTGGAAAGCACCGACCCAAGTTCAAGTGCAGCTGCCCCTTGGCCAATGGTAGAAAAGGCGGCGATGGATGGCATCCATGCTGGGGAGGAGGAGAGGGGGCGATCCGAAGAGCACGTGAGCTCTGGGGACTCTGAGGAAAGCACGCATTCTGATCATGAGCCCGAGCAGCAGAAGACCATTTCCGTAGAGCCGTGTGTACTCACCAAGGCTCACAGGCAGTTGTGCCGGTCCCCGTGCTTAGAGCCACACCTCCTCAAGCGCAATGAGATTTTGCAAGACTTCAAACCCGAGGATGCCCAGACTCCAGCCAAGGAAGTGAAGAAACCCCCAGATGTCGTTCGAGAATACCAAACGAAACTGGAGTTTGCACTGAAGTTAGGTTATTCCGAAGAACAGGTTCAACTTGTGCTCAACAAACTTGGTACCGATGCTTTAATCAATGATATTTTGGGAGAACTCGTCAAGCTTGGAAATAAAAGCGAGACAGATCAGACCGTGAGTCCAATGAATAGTGTCATGCGGGAAGTGTCATCTCTAGAGTCCCAGAGGTCCGAGTCACCCATGCAGGAGATTGTGGCGGATGATGGTGAAAATCTGAGGCCCGTCGTTATTGACGGCAGCAATGTAGCAATGAGGTAAGTGAAAGGGGGAATAAATCTTGACTGTGACCATTATTACTAAAATGGTCTTTAAACATTGTTACCAATCTGGTGACTTCTAAGTCTACACTCTTTGAAAACCTTGTGTGATCTGTCCAGATCTCACGAGCCCTCCAGTGCCAAGCTAGAGAATATCAGCCTGGCTTTGCAATGTGAGACCATAACAAGGGGTTTGGAGGAGAGAGGTCTGTCAGGACAGGAGGTGATTACTTGGCAGTGATGAACAGAAGGCTGGAACTCATCTGAAAGGCAAACGACCCTTTCCCTCTCCCGTGGAGGAGAGGGGTCCTTACTTCACTGGGATCCTAGAGCTATGAAAGAGCACATGACTTTGAGAAGTCTTTCGCAAGAAGATGGTTCCCAATAACGTAGAACTACCTGATTGCCTTGATAAGTCCCAAAGTGATGAAATTGACGAGGAGAAGGTAGTACAGTGAGTCCTAGATCCTTGAGCACAATGACCGAGGGATTCCTTAACAGCACAACGTCAGTGTCTGCCGCTGAAGAGGCTAATCCAGTGGTACTGTGGTAAAGGCCACATATCCCAGCTCTTTCCCCGATATCTTCAGGAAGGCGTAGAAAATGGTGGGATGGGAAATGGTCATATTAGGAAAATTCTCAGTGCTAGAAAACCCATAAGATGTAAAAATATTATCAGACCCCCCCACCCCCCAAAGGAGGAAGACTTCAAGGAGAGAATGCCCTGCCTTATGCTAGGAAAAGAAAAAGTTCAGAAAACTTGACAGCCAGGCAGTGGCCATCTTCAAGAATGCTGTTTGGTATTGAAGATGGACGCCAAGATGCTGTGTGATGAATGAAGGGACCAGTCTAGACTGTTGTTCTGAAGGGAAAGGAAGGACCAGAGGAAGAATTGAGTGACGTTTTTATTTGTCTGTCTGTTTTAACAAAACTGCAGAAACAGAACAGATGAGGGAAAAGAATAAGAAAGCAGTACTGCCAGGCACTGGCAGTTCACACCTGTGATCCTAGCTACCCTGGAGACTGAGATATGAGGATTACAGTTCAAAGCTAGCCCAATCAGAAAAGCTCACGAGGCTCACCTCCAATTAGCTACCAACAAATCCGGAAGTAGAGGTGTGGCTCGAGTCAGAGCACTAGCCTTGAGTAAAAAAGCCAAGGGACGGTGCCCAGGACCTGAATTCAAGCCCTATTAGTGGCGAAAAAGGAAGAAAGGAGAGGAGGGAAGGGAGAGGAGGGGAGGGGAAAAAAGTACTATGAGAGAAGCCTCTAATTTTTGAAGCTAAACTATAAAGGAAGACAATAAGAGGCACAAATCAGAATTTGGTATTCAAGGGAAATATACTTTTAGACAGGGGTAAAACAAGTGAGGCTTAGAAAAACTTGAACTTTTGTCTATGGCCATACCACCCTGAGTGCGCCTGATCTCGTCTGATCTCGGAAACTAAGCAGGGTCGGGGCTGGTTAGTACTTGGATGGGAGAAAAACTTGATGTTGTGCCAACCTCATATTCACATGTATGAAAGAAACATAGTTCCCAATAGCTTGATAAGAAATGTACTCATTATCTTGCCCATGTAATTGTAACCCCTCTGTACAGTATGTTCACAAAAAATTAAAATTAAAAAAAAAGAAATTTTTGCATACTGGAAGTTACAAAAAGCTCGAAACCTTACTCATCTAACACAGTAACAGTTATCTACAGGAAAGCAAGTGTGGTTATACATGCCTGTAATTTCAGCAGTTGGGAAACTTCAGTAGGGGAATCAAAAGTTCAAGGCCAACCTGGGTTGTAAAATAGACACTATCTTTAAAAAACCATTAACTACGTATGACTTTAGTGTAAAAATAGATTGCATAATTATGAAAATAATCGTCAACCCCCCCCCTACACACATTATTTTTTTGTACCACTCCATATGTCTTGCTGTAAAGATAAGACAGTGCAGATGTATCTTTTCTTCCTGTCATATAGTTTTAATCTGACACTTGAGCTGAACTGCTTCAGGCATTCCAGGAGAGAACACGATGACAGATTTTTATTTTAGCAGTATTATACTGTCAGTCACAATAAAATGTTGCACTATGTCCATAATTTTGAGAGTTCCAGAACTCAAGAAAATATATCGTGAACTTTTCCATTCTATTTATACATTCTACCTACAGATCTAAAATCTTCCTCTAACAAAAATAGAACTCATCCTTCCTGTTGCACAAATATGAACTTAGACTTTGAAAATGAACTTTCTATTCATAATAAATACTAGCAAGCCTATTATCTGCATTAAGGTTACACATAGAATCCTAGTAAGTATACATTCAGTTGTGAACACACTGATACATTCTGTATTATAATACGGAGTTTAGTTTAGAATAAAGTATTATTTCCTTTCTTCTAGACAGATATACTTCCCTGTAGATGAATATACTTTAATTTCATTTGAATGCTAACCATAGAAGATATGTATGAGTCTTCAGATGTAAATTCAAAGTAGGAAAGAGGCAATATTTTTTGTTAAGATTATATAATGAACTTTAAAGAGATATTTTATTCTCTGCATACCACCTATGAGATTCTCATCAAGTGATTTCCATGCTCCAGCCTTGGTTTTCATATTTGTTTTTTGTTGTTTTATTTTTGTGTGTGTATATGCCAGTCTTGGGGCTTGAGCTCAGGACTTGAGTACTATTCCCTGAGCTTATTTTGTTCAAGATTGGCACTTTACCATTTGAATTACAGTGCCACTGTTTGAGGGTAGTTTCGGGGGGGAGAAAGAGTCTCACTGATTTTCTTGCCAGAGCTGGCTTCAAACTGCATCCTCTGATCTCAGTCTCCTGGATAGGCTTGGATTATACGCTATGAGTCCCTAGCTCATATTTGTAAATAGGGGAATTCTATGTTTGCAGGCTGGCTATTAGGATAAGAGGTAATTAACACCACCAAATCCTTGGTGTGTTATAGGCACTGAATAAATTAGTTATATTTACTTTTAAGAGTGAAGTCATGAATCCATAAGATAGTAACCAATCAGGTGAAAACTTAGGTGTACCATTTTATTTCCATGAACCAGGAGAGATTAGCTGGGAAAATCTTGGAGACTCCGGACTCTAACCTGCACAGCCTGCTCTCCTGCTCTCCTACCCTGCCGTGGAAAGTAACAACATTAGCCTCACCTGTGTGGGATGTAGGCACTGGGCCAAGGATGAAGTCTGACACCTAATTGCATTATATCTAACTCTAGGTTACTACAGGATGACTGTACCTGGAATTACTATGTTTTAGAGCATGTCTTCAACCTTACTTAGTATTGCCAAATTACTCTGTCTAATAGCTACATCAAATTCACACTCCCACCTGTGAGGTATGGGTTCCTACTTCCACACCTTCTTGGCAACATCTGGTATTTGCAGACTTTATCTAATGGCTGTGAAGTGGTGTCTTAGTTTGTCTTCTACTGAGCAGCTTTCCATATACATATTGGTCAAGTGACCATATCATTCACCTTTAAAACAGCAATAACAACAAAAATTAACTAGCCAAGCACCGTGGCTTATACCTGAAATCCTAACTACTCAGGAGGCTGAGGTCCAGGTTCAAAACCAACCCAGGCAGGAAAATCCATGAGACTCTTACCTCCATGTAGCTAGCAAAAAGCCAGAAGTAAAGCTGTTGCCAGTATCGATGGGAAAAAAAGGTTAGGGACAGAATCCAGATCTAAAGTTCAAGCCCCAGTACCAGAGAATACACACACACACACACACACACACACACACACACACACACACACACACACGTGTCCTTCGTGGAATTTAATTGGAATTATAATGTTCTTATAGATTACTTTGAGAACTGATGCCATCTTTACAAATTGTGACCTACCATCTAGGCAGATGGAACATTGTTCCTTTCATTCACGTCTTCTCTTGGGCTCTTTAATACAGGTTTCCAACTTCACTTTCTCCACAAAATTTTTTCATGTCTTTTTTGTTTTATATTTAAATTTTGCTGCTTATTACAATTAAGGTTTAAATTGCTTTGGGGTATTAGGGGCTCACATCTATAATCCCCTAGCTGCTCAAGAGGCAAAGATGTAAGGATCAAGGTTCAAAGGCAGCTGGGGCAAGAAAATCTAAGATTCTTATCTCCAATTAACTACCAAAAAAGCCAGAAATGGAGGTGAGGCTCAAGTGGTAGAGTGCTACCTGCGGCCAAAATAAGCTCAAGGGACAGCACTCTGGCCCTGAATTCAAGTCCTAAAACCAGCACACAAGAATAGAGAAGAAAAAAAAGAAAGATGTCAATTGTTTTTGCCCAATCCTGTATCTCTCTGCAGTGTGATAATATGCTGTGGTCAAGGACTTTTATTATGACACAGATTCCTGACATTTGTCAGACTCTGTTCTGTAGCTTGGTCGACAGCTAATGAGACAGCTGATGTGAGAGGTTCTCTTGTGTTCTTGAAAAGGCATTCTCGTCTCTGCTTTTTGTGCCAGATTTGTCTGTCTGATTCTCTTCATCATTCCCGTGTGCCATCTTCCACCCTCGGGCCTGTTCTCTCCCCGAGGCTCCATGCAGGGAGGAGGCGAGAATGAGCGCAGCCTTTATGATCAGAATCATGTGAAACAGTTTCCTGTTTTAGCACCCAGGGACCCTGCATTCCGTGCTGGTTACACACATTGCATGAAGTTGTTTAGGCAAAAGCGGTATTCTTCTCATTCTGGAGTGAGTGAAAGGGACAGCAGGCCTTCCCAAATGAAGTCACCAGGAAGAAACTTGGTCCCTGGGAGGAATCTGCCTTTCCAGCCAGGAGCAGCGCTCAGCTTTTGGTGAACCGCACGTTATCAGTTTACAAGCAAAATATAATCCGATGGATTTCAAAGCACTCACGCAAAAGAATCATATAGTAAAGGGTTTAACCAGTTGAGTGTCTTTGGGAATATTTACTATCTATGTTCTCCTTCTCTGTACTTTTCCAGTAGGCTGACTCAGTTTCAGTATTTCCCATGAAAGTTGACGTGACGCTGAACCTCTGACTGGGGCACTGGTGGCTCCCAGCCTGCATTCTCACCTAGAAGCCGTCACACAAACTCTCCCTTTCTTTCCTCATGCCATTTTGGAAGCTGCCAGTGTACTTGATTTCACCTGTAATCCTGCCCCGGACCACAAATGGATCTGCACCACAATGCCCAATCTCCACACCGCTATAAACAGCCCTGGGCATCTTGGAAGCAAATAGCTCTATTTGTTTTGCATTAAAAAATGATTACGCTGTGTTAAGATGTTAAGTGGTTCTGGGGTTTCCTGGGGCTTAGCTACAATATTTTAAATCAGTGAAATGTTTGATTTACACTGAAAGTTAGCAAAATATATGTTACATATCCACATATATTATAAAATGCAAATTTTATATATGGTATTTATTTTATAACATGTGTATCGTATGTATATGTATATATGTACATGTAATATATTCATATATATATATATACACTATTCCTATCTCCTTGGTCCTTCTATATTATGTAATACATTTTACAGATAATATTTATTTTAAAATACTACTATATATATGTGTGTGTTGTATGTAAATGTATGACTACATTTAATATATTCATGATATATTGTATAGATATGATGTATGCACTCTGCATTATGCAGGCACACACACATACGTATGGGAGATGGAATGCTCAGAGTTCAAACTGTAAAAGATGGCAAGGGATTGTATTCAAAGTAGGAGAGTGATTTGAATTACTTGGCTAAGTGTATGAGTGGAGGCTGGCACTTGGGCAATGCTTGCTGAGTGACTCCTCTGAGCTGGGCATTGCTTTTCAATCTCTGTTAGCACCAACACCCCTAATCTCATCCGAATGCCTCGCCACGTATCTAATCCGTGTTCATCCAATCCGTGGCCAGAAAGAGGTGCAAAGTGTCCGTTGGATGAGATTGAGCGTTGCAAATATGTTTTTCCTCAGAGCGAGTCTGGGCTATGTGATTCTTCTCTGGTCACCTGTACACTTCGTAGGTTACTTAGTCACTGCATTGAAGTGTGCACACAAAACTCAAAAAGGCGAAGGTTTTAAAAAGGCTCAAGTACTGCTTTTCACTGTTTCACAAAATTTTTCTCTGTGTGACTCCTTTTTGTAAGATTTGAATTTATACATGTGTGTATGTATAAATTCAAATCTTAAAAAATGTGTGTGTATATATATATGTGTGTGTATAATCTTTTTAAGTATTTGTACCAAGAGGTTTCAATTCAGTGTATCATTGCATCAGTTTATGAGTACAATGCACTGGGGTCAATGTCTCCCCTACCATCGCTCTCCCCCCCCCCTCCCAACCCTGCCCATCCCCTCAAGTTTCTGGTTCTATTTTTACCTATCTAAATTGAATATTATGGCTGTATTCATCCACCCTTCCCTCCATTTGACCTTCCTCCCACCTTTTGACCTCCCGCCCTCCTGATAGCATGTTTCCATCTCCGGTCTTCATGTTGTTTAAGTATAAGATAGTTGTTCCAAGGAGTTAACACCATTGCAGGCTTCCCCTACCATCCTTTAGACAAATGTTTTTATGACTTTCTTTTTACAGTTGACAGAAATTCTTCTGTGGTTCAAATGCCATCTCTTTCCCTGTCTGACTAGTTTCGGAAACCTGAAGAGTTATCAGCCTTCACAACTTCACATTTGAAAAACTCATGGTCTTTATTCTGTAAACAATAATCCTTTCCATCTTATTTTTCCCCCCTTCACAGGTTTTGATTTTCAGCTGTCACCTTCCTTTTTCTCTGACCTTTGCCACTTCCTCTCAGATTTCAGCCCTCTTGTTAATTGTTGTCATTATGTGATCATCCTGTTCTTATAACCTTGAATTAGTGAAATCAAATTAAGTTCTGTGGGCTTTAAACCTTCTAAAATAATCTTTCAGCCATGGAAACAAAGAAGTCTTTTCCTGCCGAGGAATAAAACTGGCAGTGGATTGGTTTTTGGACAGAGGCCACAAAGATATCACTGTTTTTGTTCCTGCCTGGAGGAAAGAGCAGTCGCGCCCTGATGCTGTCATCACAGGTGAGCCGCTCTGCCTAGCTTCTGTGTGACAGTGGGCCCCTCAGCCACTCAATCTGTGTGGCTGCCATCTACTCTTGGTTGGGACATTCAAGTTACTTTTGAGTTTGAAACTAATCGAATTAACTACAGGAAACATTCATGTCTGCTACATTCGGTCAGGGTTTTTTCATTATGTGGACTTCAAATTCTATAAAATTCCAACGTGTAGAGGCACACTAAGGATCAGAAGACCATTTCTGGATTTGCTATTCACAAGCTCCAGGACTCTGGACAACATACACCACCTCTTTGGACCCCACTTTTTCATACACTCTATGAAATTAGACTAAGTGGCCAGCATGGCTACAGGTCAAAAGGATCTGTAAGAGACAGCGTATATACTATCCATTCAAGGAGGAGGAGATGGCCCGATCCCAAGAATGGATTGCTGTTTTCACTATTTGGCATTTATTTTTATTTTATTTGGCTTAAGCTCAGGGTCCTGTACTTGTTAGGCAGGTACCCTGCTACTAGAACCTCAGCTTTGGCCTTTGGTTGGTTTTCTTGTGGTTGTGGGCAGTGCTGCTGCTGGTGGTCGTAGTGTTTTTTGGTGTTGGTACTGGGGCTTGAGCTCAGGCCCTCACTCACTTGGGAAGTTTTTGTTCTGTTTTCTTAAATCAGGCACTTTACCATTTGAGCCACATCTCCACTTTGCCCTTTTTTGGTGGTTAGTTGGAAATGAGTCTTGTAGACTATACTGTTGAACATTTGTCTTAATTTCTATGACTCAAAAACCCACTCTGCCTCCAAAATTACCACACACCATGAGAACCTAGAGGAAGGGGATGAAGAACTTGCCTTATCCAAAACAAATGAGATCACCGCCATGAGCACCTAGGGAAGAACTATTTTAAGATTTTAGTCTGCATTTATTAAATCATTGTTGAATACAGTGAATAAGCCAGTAATGGTGGAGTCCCAAGCTATGGACCCATTTTAGCATATGTAAAAAATGTTAGGAGCTTTCCAACTATCATACCATAATAATCTTTAGAGTTACCTTATATTCTTACAATGCTTGGGAAATCATGGGTGGTATGTGACAAAGGAAAACAAAACAAAAAGGTAATGACCAAGTGTGGTAGTGTTCACTTGTAATCCCAGCACTGGGGAGGTGGAAAACGGGACATTTGAAAGTTCAAGACCAGCCTGGGCTACACAATGAGATTATCTAGGAAGGGAGGGAGGGAGGGAGTTAAGTACATCTGGTAGCAGCTTGCCAGGTCTCAAGAACACATAACATATCAGAATGCAGTTTACTTTGTAAAATGCTAGGGCTATATTTCAGAGGCTTTTCATTGTTTTCTTTCCCAATGTAATAACTTTCTGACTAAAGCTCTCAACCACATGATTCTTGATAACCTTTTGCTGCACCAATTAAAAAAAAAAATCCCTTGATTTAAAAATGTACTGAAGTTTTCAGAGCTATCGATTTAGACTGGCACTTTTGCTAAATCTTTCTTTCATCTAACAGAGACTTGAGCAGAGTACTAGCTGTAATCACTTACTAGCTGTACTGAACTTCTATTTAAGTTATTAGTATTACTTATATGGCATCCTTATTTCCTCCCAACCTTGTCAGCTGTCCCTTAAATGTAGATTAAGTATGGTGAGGGCCTTACCCTGACACATTTACCCCTCTGACCTCCTGGGTAAAGCTCTAGGCATGTAATGTATTAATATAAATACCTTCACAAATAATTAAGTACCATGGGTACTTAACTCACTCCCTCCCTGTTTTCCTTCCTTCCTTCCTTCCTTCCCTTCCTCCGTTCCTTCCCTCTCTCCTTCCCTTCCTTCCTCCCTCCTTCCCTCTCTCCCTCCCTCCCTTCCTTCCTCTCTTCTTCCTTTCTTCTTCCTTCCTTCCTTCCTCCATTCCCTCTTTCATTCCTCCCCTCTTTCATTCCTACCTTCTTTCTTTTTGAAATGATATCATTGTGTAGCCCAGGCTACAAATGTCCTGTTTCCCACCTCCTCAGTGGAAGATTAATGAAAGATTTCTGAGTAAATATCTTTAAGAAACTCATGCATTCGTTCATTCCACAGACATTAACAACCACATCCTCCAAATAATTCACAAGGAAAACATACAACACATACTCTTGGTTTTCCATTTTAGTCTTTTTTTTAATGTAAAAACTTCTCATTGAAATTTCTGAAAGAAAAACTATTGAGAATTCCAAACTATGCTGCATCTTTAAACTACATCCTATTCTCCCAATGATAATGTCTGCCCTCACTCATTTAAAAGACTCAACATCATGTGAGAGTCACCATATGCCGTTTACAAATCTGTTCCTGAAACTCAGCCTGTGTTCTCCTCGCAGATCAGGAAATCTTGCGCAAATTAGAGAAGGAGAAGATCCTGGTGTTCACGCCATCACGGCGCGTCCAAGGGAGGCGCGTGGTTTGCTATGATGACAGGTTCATCGTGAAGCTGGCGTTTGAGTCCGACGGCATCATTGTATCCAATGACAACTACAGGGATTTGGCCAATGAGAAACCAGAATGGAAGAAGTTCATAGATGAGCGGTTATTGATGTATTCCTTCGTCAATGACAAGTAAGTAAACCAGTGACCTGCTTCCCTCACGACCCAGCCATTCCTGCTAGATGCTACAGAACCCTTCTGTTTTTGCCCCTTCCTATCTTAGGACAGGTTTCTCTTAACACCTGATTTCCTCACTACTAGAAGGAAGTTTGTTCCTCTGTAGGAAGACCTGTGTGAGCTCTCTGCCCTTCCTCAAAACCATTAATTATGCACCTGAAGCAAAGGAGGTTTCTTAAACTGGGAGACCTGTTATAGCTGGTAGAAAAATTCCCATTTTTGCCCCTGCCCCAAATGCCTTCCAAAGTCAACTTTTAGAGAGTATCGATAGTTTACTCACTGGACAAGTTTTGAAAGTTTTATGACTATAAGACACTTACTCATGATCACAGTCTCCAAGATGATAGATAGACAGATGGTCTGAATGGCCATGTGTCACATTATCTAGAAAGACGTAGGAAAACTGGGTTGGTTACTCGTCAGAAATGCAGACTAAACCTAAAAGCCTATTTTCTCACTTGTTTAACTCACAATGTTTTATGTATGCCATATGCTATTAAGGATGTATGTAAACTAATACACTAATGTAGCAAACATTAGCAGAAGCTTCAAGATATGTTTACTCTTTCAACCCAACAATCTTACGTCTTGGAATGTATAATGAGGAGAAAAGAAAGATTGAATATGTTCACTACTATATTATTTGCAATCGCAAGAATTCAAAGGCAGCTAAACGTTTAATAGAGAAACCAGTCAAGTTACAATGCATGTCTGCTGGAATATTATTCTGTTTTTCAGAATGACTATGACAGTTGCTAAAGAAACATGGAAAATATTTTTGTTCGCATTGAAAGAAGACAACCCCTAAAACATAAACAAACAAAATGATTGTGGAATTGAATGACTTTGTCTCCTCTCTTTTCACTGTTAGTGTTGCTGATACTGTTTTATTTGTTTGCTTGTTTTAGTGCTGCTACTGGGGCTTGAATTCGGGGCTTCTCACTCTCCTGCACTTTCTTGCTCACACCACGCGCTCTTTCACTTGAACCACATGTCCAGAAAGTCAAGTACTTGGTTTATCAGTTATGGAACCTCCCAAGTCTTTTCTGCCCAGGCTGGCTTAGAACCACAGTCACTCAGATCTCAGCCTCCTTCGTAGCTAGGATTACAGGCGTGAGCCACTAGCACCTGCTATTGTAATTATTTTCTAAAAACCCTTACAATATCCTATGACGTGAAGGATGAGAAAATGAATTAGGATGTGCTAGACTCAAAACCTACTTGAATTAAATTGGTGTTAACTCACATAGGTACTGTGAATTAAATACAAATAGTGTGTTCAGCTTAAAACGTTCCATTATTTACAGTGTCTCATTGAGAAAGGAAAACTTGGTTTGCTAATTTTTTTTCTCTCCTGTCATTGTCGAATCAAAGCCATTGGATTAAAACATCAAGAGAAAATACCGTAGAAGAAATAAAAATTTTGTATTCTTCCTTTAGAATTAAATAACCAGCTTCTTACTTAGGCGTCTTTTTTATTTATTTATTTTAATCTCCATGATAGGTTCATGCCTCCTGATGATCCTCTGGGCAGACATGGCCCAAGCCTGGACAACTTCCTGAGAAAGAAACCCATTGCTCCTGAACACAAAAAGCAGCCTTGTCCTTATGGTAATTAAACAGAAAGAATAACAAATCCTCAACGTGTGCCTTTGGGACACAATGTCTTGTTAATAAAAACAGCATAATAAAAATAAACATCTAAAATTTGGGGTGGCATAGCCCTTTGGATTCCAGTGAAATTGAAGAATATGTCCTGTCCATGGAAAAGAATGATTTTGTTACCTCTTCGTGTTGAATTACTATTCATTCCCCTCAGTTGAAATATAGTTTGAAAACTCAATTGTGCCTGAAGTTAGCTTTAGGGTAGAGGAAAATTGAGGATTCTTATATCCAGACACAAATCCTCACACAAAGCGTGTGAGGCTTTACCACGTTGAAGCCTTACAGTGGCTCTTCAAAACAAAAGTTCCTGCCCGCTCAGAAAGTCTTGCTGAAGGAGGAGAGGTAAATGGGAGCCGAAAACATGGTATAGTGGTGACCAGAAACCCTGGAAGTGACCATTCATCCGTCAGCCAACTTTCCTGGGTTATTCTCTAGAATCAGGAACAGTAATCTATTTAGCAAATATATCTCCCCTGTCGCTCTTTCTCGAGTTAAAATGGTGCCGTGGCGACTTTGCAGTGTCCGATGGTATGTTCTTTAGTCTAACTAACTTTCCCTCTTTGTAGGAAAGAAGTGTACCTATGGGCACAAGTGCAAATATTACCATCCGGAAAGGGGCAGTCAGCCTCAGCGGTCAGTAGCTGATGAACTTCGTGCCATGTCTAGAAACACAGCAGCCAAAACTGCCACCGAAGGAGGGCTGGTGAAAAGCAACAGCGTCCCTTGTAGCACGAAGACGGACAGCACTTCCGACGTGAAGCGAGGGGCTCCAAAGAGGCAATCCGATCCAAGCATCAGGACTCAAGTCTACCAAGACCTAGAAGAAAAGCTTCCCACCAAAAACAAGTTGGAAACCAGGTCCGTACCTTCCTTAGTTAGCATTCCGGCTCCTTCTACTACAAAACCCCAAAGCACTACATCTTTAAGCAATGGCCTTCCATCTGGAGTGCATTTCCCACCTCAGGATCAAAGACCACAGGGACAATATCCTCCAATGATGATGGCAACCAAAAATCATGGAACGCCAATGCCTTATGAACAGTACCCCAAATGTGACTCGCCCGTTGACATTGGGTATTATTCCATGTTGAATGCGTATTCAAATCTGAGTATCTCAGGCCCACGAAGTCCTGAAAGGCGTTTCTCGTTAGACACAGATTACCGCGTAAGTTCTGTGGCTTCTGACTGCAGCAGTGAAGGGAGCATGAGCTGTGGGAGCAGTGACTCCTATGCAGGGTACAATGACCGCTCCTACGTCAGCTCTCCCGACCCACAGCTGGAAGAGAGTTTGAAGTGTCAACACATGCACCCTCACAGCCGCCTTAATTCCCAGCCCTTCTTGCAGAATTTCCACGACCCCTTAACCAGAGTGCAGAGTTACAGTCATGAAGAACCAAAGTTCCATCACAAGCCTCCTCTTCCACATCTGGCAATGCATCTGCAGCACCCAGCTGTGGGCGCCCGGTCCAGCTGTCCCGGGGATTACCCCTCGCCACCAAGTTCCACCCACTCCAAGGCACCGCACCTAGGGAGGTCTTTGGTGGCCACAAGAATAGACAGCATTTCTGATTCTCGACTCTATGACAGCTCTCCTTCCAGACAAAGAAAGCCTTACTCCCGCCAGGAGGGGCTGGGAGGCTGGGATAGGCCGAGTTATGGGATGGATGCCTATGGGTATCGGCAGACTTACTCCTTACCTGATAACTCCACGCCACCCTGCTATGAGCAGTTCACCTTCCAGAGCCTACCTGAGCAGCCAGAGCCCACCTGGCGAGTCCCATACTGTGGAATGCCACCAGACGCTCCCAGGTACCAGGACAACCGAGAGAAGATTTATATCAACTTGTGCAACATCTTCCCACCCGACCTTGTGAGACTTGTCATGAAAAGAAATCCTCACATGACAGATGCCCAGCAGCTGGCTGCAGCTATTTTAGTGGAGAAATCCCAGCTGGGTTATTGAAAGATGATGCATCTTTGTGGTGTTGAGTGGGTGGCTTTTTCTTTTTGTTTTTTTGTTTTGGGGTTTGTGTGTGTGTGTACGCGTGCGCATGTGTGTGTGTGTGTGTGTGTGTGTGTGTGTGTGTGTGTGTGTGTGTGTGTGTGTGTGTGTGTGGTGGTTCAGCTCAAATGCTGAGGAAGGTTTGCTACAATAGCACACATGATCCCCTTCTCAGCAAGGGGATTGTATAGTATCCATTTATGTGAAATACTGTATCATGGAATCTGTATGTCTAGTCCCACTTGGCAGAAGGATTAGCCAATTGCTTTACATTCAAACTTTTTTTTTTTTTTCTCCCCCAAACATTTCTTTTTCAAAGCTATATCCTTGGCTGGAAAGTGTTTCCAGTTTGATTTCCTAGATGTATCTGTGACCTTTGATATGAATCTTCGGTGCATCAGGGGTTTATATGCAGCACTTTTTATGCCTGTTTCATGTTTTACTAACTGGGTGTTTTGTCTATCTAAATTGCAAGCGATTACAATACCTTCAGAATGTGGGGCATTTGACTAGGCCTAGCAAACTGTTTTTTCAAGCCAAGCTTAACTAGAACCTTTTACAGCTTTTTAAGTTATTTGGGGGGGGGAGGGGCGGGGGAGGAAGAGGGCTTCTTTGTGCTATAATCATTATTTATAGAAACAAAGATATACTACAGCACTGACTTTATATTTGAAACAAAAATGTAAGTTACCAGTTTATGTTAAAAATGGGTAACCGTATATATATTAGAATGATTTACAATATGGCACTTTTTTATTATTTTATTTTTGATTTTTTTTTTTTTTTGCTGTTGAGAAATTAGTTAATTTAATATGGTCAATTTAAAAGAAAGCAGATGCAATCAATGGAAAACATTGTTTCCATTTTGGGTTTTTTGGTTTTAATGAATAAGGCAAAAGCCGTAACTTGAGAGGCAGGAACATTCTGATTGGCCCGGGGTGTGTTTACAGGCAGCAGACATGGGAACAAGCTCCTAGATTTCCATCCACTTGTATTTTTAATGTCTTGTCTTTTCGTTTGGGGGCACAATAATACTGGATAAATAAGTTTCCACAGTACTTGCCTGTTTTTAATGAATCTAATTAATCTCAATGCAACTTTTATATTTAATATACTCTAGCTTTCCTGCTATTTATCAAGGCTGGCCTGAGGTAGGTTTTCTTTTGTGTGTGTGTGTATGTGTGTGTGTGTGTATGTGTATGGAAGACATGCCGCATTTCTTGATACTGCACTATAGAAATGGCGATGGAGGAGCTGTAAATTGGTAACTTAAATTTTTTTTGTAACATATTGTATATTTTCCATTTTCCTGGAGGTAGTTCTTTTTTTGTGTGTGGGGGAGGGGGGCCTGTTATATTATTAAGGCCAGACTCTTGCCATAAATAGTGTAGTTTTAGATACAGACTGAAGTCTGTTCTAGTTTTAGCAAGGGATATTTCTGGTTTCTAAGACATGGGTCTTGCTTAACCACAATTGCGTTTCTGAGGATTAGAAGGTGGATTCCACAGTCTGTGGCAGACAGTCGTGTGATTGACGTAACTTGACTTTTCCCTCCCAATTCTGAATTTGACTTAGCCCGTCAGACACACTCAGATCTGTCTCTGCAGTCTGCCTGGAGTCCAGAGCTACAGTTTGAAGTAAAACCCTGCAAAACCAGAAAGTACCTTTTACTGTTGATACAAATTGTATCTTTTTAACGATAATAACTATTTTGATTTGTAGATCTAGTTCAAAACACAAATGTGTAACTATGATTAGAGTTTTGGGCAACATTTTATCCCTTATTTAAATACCAAATTTTTCAAGTAAAAAAAAAAATTGAAGTCTAGAATAGGGTAGAAAATAAAAAGTAACAATTAAGGTAAAATTAAAGTGTCTGTCTTAGTTTTATAGAATATATTGAAACAGATTACAGAAATTTATTGGCATTTTCTTTCTCCTAAAACGTTTAACCTAGTGTGAACTGAACGTAAAAATAAATAAAATACATAAATAAAGGTAAAATGCTGCCTGAAAATAATGTCCAAGCATCTTTGACTAGAATAACTTTTCCACTACTTGTGCAACACCATGTGTTGCACGGAGTAGGATTTGGGTATACAGTAAATGCTTCTAAAAGGCATTGTGCATATTGACATATCCAATAATCTGAACCATGTTCAGCAAACTTAATTCAGGAAAGTGAAGTCCGACACCATTTCCACTGTCGTGTTTGGCTGGAGGAGACCACGCCTACCCTTCTGAGTGGGGTTGGGGGGGGGGAGAGCGACCCCCACACCTGTGGAGTGTCCTCCCTCCCCTTGACCGTCCTTAGCTGTAGAACAAGTCTAAATATAGAGGCCGGGTGAGTGCCAAGAATAGTGTTTCAGATGCGTAGGTTAGATACCTTTGGTTTGGGTCGCTCTGCTAAGACTTTGTAGTATGAAATTCTTTTTTTTTTTTAATTGTACCTGGGAGCTTGGCTTCCGCATGCTTCGGTTTAGCATTCTGATGATTTGAAAGTGGCCGGACGTTAGTACGTTGTTGCAGATCACATCTTCTTAGGTGAAAACAGTTGGACTCTTTGAAATGTGTTGTGAGCTGGCTTTATTTTTGTGGTGGTGGTGGTTGCTTTGGAAAAAGTGTTCCCCTGTCTACTGCTCCAGGGAGTAGCGAATGATAGAAAGAGCAGCGTTCTAAAGGCGAGGGGACAACCTGTCTGTCCCCTCCCCTCTTTTCTTTGGAAGCTGCTAGGCTTTAGGTACAGCCTGTTATTGCTGATCTAAAGCAGAAAGTGTGTTTCTTTTAAAGTCTGTTATTCAATTAAATCCTGTCACCAACCTTCCTTTTGAGTCAGCTCTTTCTTCCTAATTCCTACTCCCTGTCTGGCAGACTTGCTAATAAACAACCAGAAAGTAGTGTTTTCGCAAGTAGTACAGTTGGCCACAAGTGGTCAGCGGATGAGAGCAAGGTTGCCAATGGCTTGTATTTCCCCTAGGGATCAGCCATGTCCGGTCTGTTGCCTCTGTTTCTTACTCCAGAGGGAAGAGTACCCAACTGGCCAAATACTGGCCCTTAGTATTTCCTCCTTCCTTGCATGCAATACAAGACATTTTCAGTCTTGTTTTTATGATCTCTGTCTCCTAACGTTAACCTAAACATGAAAACGTTCACTGGTATTCAATCTCCGATACTGGTGACAACTTGAATTTTGTGTTTTATGAAAAGGCATTTATGAGAATATGTATTATAATAGAGTGTTTTTATATAGCCACACATAAATATTTCTGCTGAAGTATTAAGAATAGAGAGGGGCTTCTTTCCATAGCTAACATTTCCCTTCTTGAATTGTTTCTTGGAGCTGTGGAAGGCCTTGCCGGGTCTGAGTGAGCAGTGAGAGGTGTAGAACCACTTACAGGGAACGCAGCTCTTGGCTGCTGTCTTCCTTGCTAGCTTCATTTTGACTGATCTTTCTTGAGATGGAGTTCACATAGCATACCGTCCTCAGCCGTGTGACGTGTCCAGTTGAATGACAGCATCCTCAGAGCCACACTACCATGATCACAAGCAACTTTAGACCAGTCCATCTCCCTACAGAGCAAACTTGATCCCATCATCAGCCCAGCTGTAGGCAACTGATGACCCATTTTCTGTTTCTATGGAGATTTCCTGTTGTGGGCACCTTCCCATAAACAGGATCCTTCAGTGAGTAGTAGCTGGTGATGGATAGCTGGAATTAGTCTCTAGGACTGAGGCCCTGATTGCAAACAGGTTGCTCTCATGAACTTAGAGCCACTCCAAAATCCCCCGTGGTGGCTTTTGGCCTTGGTCCTATGGAAGGGAGGCAGACCCCAGGGGGCCTGGTGAATGGTGTGGCCTTAATTTGGCTGCTTCTTCCCCCTGGCTTCAGCGTCCCTGCTTTGCGTTAAGAGCTCATCATGGAAGGAGAGCTGATTCTGCTGAGATCTGCTGCTGGATTTGAGGTACTTTGTGCCGGGCCTTCCAAAAGTTTGGGGTCAATATGAAAGTCAAACCCTGCTTGAGACTCTGGTGTTGAGAAGGCGTGGCCTGGTGGTGGTGAACTCTTTCCTGGTAGACCCAGGATGGGTGTGGGCATGACAGGGTTTGGGGGTGAGGCGCGGGGAGGGGGGCGGGAGGGAGCACTAGTTAGGACTATAGTGAAGGTTCCATTCAGGAAGCTTTCCGGGGCAGGCAGGCCTTCCTCAGCCCAGGTCAGCTGATAGATTGTGGTAAGACACACACACAGTCAGTTTGGTTTTATCTGAAAATGTGGTTTCGTATTTGTTCCCCACTTTCTAAGTCTGTCCATTGTGTGATGCTACAAAATAAGTTATTTAGTCAACAAGCTTTAACTTAGTAGAAGTAGCTAGTGGATCCAGGGATCTATGGGAATGAAGATATTCCTTTCTTCAAGAAACTCAAACTTGTACCCCGCCCCATCTCCCTGACCAAGTAATCTTCCTAGTATTTGATAATTTGATAATAGAAGGTATAATTTTTTTAATGCATAAAAACCTTCCAGTAGTGCTGATTATAAAAATTATTTAACATGTCTTTTATGGATGTATCTATATGCATATAAACAATAATATATTTATACAACAAATATACTTTATGTTGTAGTTCTTTGTGAAAGATGAGCAAATTTGAAGAGACAGAATGTATGTGAGTGTGTGTGTTATAAAAGAAAACTAGTTTTTTCTCCCTAATTTAATAATATCTGCTCTAATGAATGTTTGCATTTTGTTATTCTATTTTCTATCCAACTTCCTTACTCAAGATAAAACAAGATATATAGTTTACTGGCCCTTCTGTTGGTGTATGTTTCTTGCCTTCTCTCTTCCTTTTAATGCTCTGATTCTTGGAGAATTCCTGATTAACCTAAAATCAAGCAGAATGTTGCTAGAGATGAGAATTCAGCTGCAGTGTCATGTAAATGCAAATGGGACACATGTGCCTATGTACGCACGCGCACACACACACACACACACACAGACTCACATCTGTTACTCTAGTGGAAAGCTGAATACTAAGGTAAGATCTCTTATCTTGGTCTAGAGA